ATATCAGATAAAACTGCTTTTTGGTGGCACCAAGTACTTCTGCCCCATTAACACGATTAGTTTTGCACAGTTTGAGCTGTTTTCTGTAACACATGAAAGCAGGTCCTGCTCTGGACTGGAGGTTTCATCCTCCAGCACATGTACAGCTTGATGGTCACTTTCATTCACAGCTGGAAACTGCTTTGCCATTTCACACAATTCAGCCAACCCAAACTGCTTTTTGGTGGCACCAAGTACTTCTGCCCCATTAACACGATTAGTTTTGCACAGTTTGAGCTGTTTTCTGTAACACATGAAAGCAGGTCCTGCTCTGGACTGGAGGTTTCATCCTCCAGCACATGTACAGCTTGATGGTCACTTTCATTCACAGCTGGAAACTGCTTTGCCATTTCACACAATTCAGCCAACCCACAGGCAATGCGTCCAGGAACGTTATTCTTCCTGCAACTGAATTCTGCAGTAGTGTGTTGAAGAAAACCAGTTCTGAGTCCTTCTTGGACTAACTGCAAAGTGCCATCCCAAATGAGCTTCCTGACCTGTATGGTCATAAAGAACCAAGAGAAAAAAGAAAAAAATCTTTCAAGTATCTACTTGATCAGGGAATGCAAATGAGATCAAAGCATTCTCAATCTGCAGTCAGGGAAAAGTATCCTTGCCAATTACTGAGATTACTTGGCTCAAATGCTACAAGGGCATGATAATAAAGCCCTGTGTCATGGCTTAACTCCAGCTGGCAGTCAAGTACCACTCAGTCATTCACTCACACCCCACGCCCCACAGCTCCCTGGTGGGGAGGAGAATAGAGGGAAAAAAGTAAACCTCATGGGCTGAGATATGAACAGTTTAATATCTGAAACAAAATAAATTATTATCAACACTATTATTATTAAAAGGAGGGATAGAGAGAAATACCACCCAAGAGAAACAACTGATACGTAACACGATCGCTCACCACCCACTGACCAATGTCCAGCCCATCCCACGGGAGCAATCCATGGCTCACAGCCAACTCTCCCTGTTCATATCGTTAGCATGACGTTCTATGGCATGGAATATCCCTTTGGCCAGTTTAGGTCACCTGTCCTGGCCATGTTCCCTCCCATCTTCTTCTGCACCTGCTTGCTGGCAGAGCGTGATCTTTTAGTTGCTGCTGTCAACATTATTCTCATACTAAATCCATAACACAGAACTGTCCACCTATCAAGACGAAAACTAACTCTATCCCAGTCAAAACCAGGACACCATGCTAACTGCTGTTGCTGTTGTTTTGGTAAAGCTACAACAATTAGAAGCCTAAAGAAAGAAAAAGTGAGAAACTACCAAATAAAACACTTCAGATAACAGAGATTGAATATTATTGTTCCAACCAAACATAAATTTAAAAGAAATTATCTGAAGATTACGTTAAAATTCCAATCCAATTTCAGGTTACTCTGCCCACTAACATATTTTTAATTGACAAGTATATTGGGATCTAAAAAGTCAGTAATTTCCCACATTTTAATTCACTTCAAAAAACAATAGTTTATGCATTTTAAAAGCAATAAGGAAGAACAATCAGTGAATCACATGATATGATTAGAATTTGATTTTGCATCTTCTCCAAATGACAAACCTCTCAAATACTCTGCTGGTGAGTCCAGGGTGACAAGATTCTTGGATCTATATACACTCTCGTTCATTTCAGTACCCTCCCTTCGCAAAAATTTAGGGACCTACTTTATTCTCAAATTATTGAGCCTTTATGAGTTTTAATTGTCAGAGAGGCATTTTTGTTCATTTAGAACAGCAATATTGTCAGTTACAGTGGTTTTATCAAAGGTTTCAAATACCTATTGAGGTTTCTAAAGCTTCTGATTCTGAAATCTTCAACATTACAAAATGTTTTTATGAAATACTCTTTATTACAATTACCAAATTAATGGTGGGGGAAAGGGTATTTTAATAATTTCTTTAAATCGTGCCACCATCTAGATACCCAAAGGGACAGAGTCATAATTTTTTAGTTCCTAGGTTTGTGATAATAAAAGTTCATACTGCTTTAACAGAACTAATAAATACATCTTTAGAAATTATACAAATCATAGAGCTGAATTAATGCAGACAGCTTTGCTTCTCACATGCATGTGTTAATTTGCAGATGGACAAAGCCTCTTGACTCTCAAGCAATTCAAACAATAGTTTAAGTATTTTGTACAGTTCCCT